AAAAAAAAAAAAAAAAAAAAAAAAAAAAAAAAAAAAAAAGAAACACAGCACCTGACAAGTTAATTCAATGAAAAATTTTTACTACTCATACTAAATAAGTCTGCTTTATTTCTAGATAATTTGTGTGATCTAGGTATCGTACCTTTCTGACTAAGGTTTGGTGCTCTGATTATTTTTATATCTTAAAAACTTGAAACATATGTTTATTCTAAAATATACTTTCAAGTTTATATTACATACCTCAAAGGCAAAGTTATTGTCTTTTATAAGTTAGATATTTGGTTATGTTTTTATCATGACTACTTCATGAAGAGTATTGACGATATATGTTTGAAAAATGTACTTCTCGGGCCGGCCCGGTGGTGCACTGGATAGTGCGCCACTTGCGAAGCGCGGCGGCGCTCCCGCCCGAGGGTTCGGATCCCACATACGGACCGGTTCCCGCTCACTGGCTGAGCGAGGCGCCGGAGCAACACCGAGGGTTGCGATCCTGTTGCCGGTCCCCGGTCCGGTACGGGGGCAACAGTGAGGGTTGCGATCCGTTGCCGGACACGGAAAAAGACAAAAAGACAAAAAAAAGAAAGAAAAATGTACTTCTCTACACAATGTCATACGTTTTTTCAATGAAGTGGGGAGAAAGGATACACATATATAGTATGAGTATTATCTGTTAATAGCTGCAATTTTTTAAAATATGTAAGTTCGCGTGTAGGGGAGCCCAAAGTCATTTTCAAAAAAATGATTCAATTTGTCTTTCCTTTCCTTAGTCTTAGAATGAAATATCAATACTTGAGAAATGACATACTAAAGAAATAAGTTTGATAACCTTGTAAACCCATTGCTCTGTTCCTCCAAGATTTATACCTACTTGAGGGCCTTATAACAAATGTTGTGTTATAAAGTGGCACTTCCCCAAGATCCTGCAGGTTGTTAATAGAAGTCGTATGCGGCAAGACTTCTTGGTCAAATATGATGAACAAATGCTGGGATAAACAAACTTAGAGTGGTTTCTTTATTATAAGGTGTCCTAGAGCCTTTGTTACGATATGCACATTCCTAAAGCCTTTGATATAATATATACATTTTGAATCTATAAGAGGAGGTGATATATACTATAGTACGCAGGAACTCCCAAACTTACTTACCCAAGAAATCCTTTTTTCATAGAACTGATATTCTGAAGAGTTTGAAATTGGGGAAATATTGGTAAACATTTTACAAAATCTCATCACATGTGGTCTTGTGAAGTGTAACTGTGAGATCAATTCTAATCTATTTGGTTTAATTTGTTTTGCCATTCTACTAGCAAGTTAAATATTTTTTGTTTGGGGAGTTTTATTTCTTTTTATTTATTTCTTTTGTTTTGATTTAATTTTTAAAATTAGGTCATCTAAAACCATCTAGATATTACCTTACCCTAGTATTTAAAGGAGGTCTAATACATAATACAGATTTTGGAGTCAGACTGGCCTATGTTTGCTCCTTACATGACTTAGAGCAAATTACTTAAACTTCCTAACTCTCAGGGTTTTTTTAAATATTGTTTTGTGTTGGTTGTTGTTGGGGTTGTTTTGTTTTGTTTAGGATTAAGAGGATTATATGGGATAACATATAAAATATCTAACACTGTGTCTGAAAAATAATAGGTGTTATCAAATGTTAATCCCATTTTCTCAATTTCTTTATGACCTCTTTTACCTCAAAACGGGGGCATTCAGGTTCTACAGCTTCCTTTCCAGTTACCACCAATTATTTTGAAGTTTAAATAAAGCATACTCAGTTCTGAATTATTGCATTCAAGTAGTCTTAAATTAGCTTGCTACTAAATTGTTGGATGAAAATATTGACTTAGAATGACAGTAACTAATTTGAAAATCCAGCCATATCAACTTTACTTAAAGTTGGTTTTTTTTTTTACTGCTTTCAGGAAGCAATTAATCTGCTAGAACCAATGACAAATGACCCTGTGAACTACGTGAGGCAAGGGGCTCTCATAGCTTCAGCTCTCATCATGATCCAGCAAACTGAAATCACTTGTCCAAAGGTAAACAAAGAAATTCTCTGGAAGAGAGCTGGTTTGGGCTTTTCTTCAGTAACTTATCTCCTTTTGAGGGCATTTTTACTTCAAATATGGTGAATACTGAAGTCACAGGAAGTAAATAGAGCATTCTTGGGGGTAAGAGAATGGGAAAACATTAAATATACAATGCTCTTTAAAGGTGTTTTTTACAGATTTATGGTCACTTAGTTAATTTCCGAATATACCCATACTTGAAAAAGTAGAACTCACGGGGTAGTGAAATCATAAAATCAACTTTTTTGCCTTCCACTGTTTTTTAAAAATTTATTCAGTGGAATAACTTGTTCCTCTGATACAAGATGCAAACTCAGGCAGTCCGTGACATTTTTGATCCATCCTTCTGAGGCAATAAAAAGTTCTACAGCCACTTTATATAGTATATGCAATCTCAGTTTATCAATGAATATGTCCACATTCTCTGTTGAACTGTCATCGCCCTCCTGGGCATTCCTCTTGGGTAGAGTTTCAAATGGTTCCAGGATGGCTTTCTTTTTCTCTTGACCCACATCCACTACACAGAAACCGCTCCTGCATATTTTGCCCTTCTTGTGGGTAGGAATATAATTGGCTCTCAGTGTTAGTGCCTCCACTGATTGTTAATGCCTCTTTTTGTATATGTCAGATGTCCATGCACAGTAACCCTTGATAATATTGAGTGCCCAAAGTGGTCCCTGCGGAGCCCCTTTCTCTAGGCTTGGAGTGAGGGCGAAAGATTTGCAGCCCACGTTTCCCTATAGATCCTCTTCATATATCCTTCACAATTCATACCCACCCTGTAGATGACTTTATAACAGATTTTAAGAAGCCTATGACAGTCTCTCAGACCTCATGCTAGTGTTTGATATCTAATGTATCTTGGTACTTTAGCCAAAACTTCTCATTCTATTGAGAAACAGAAAATGCATGTTTCTTATTTACGTGTACTGAAATTACCATGTTTGATATATTAAATGGATGTATAAAGCTTATACAATATTTCAGATCTTCTAATTTTTACTTAAAGTTAGAGCATTTAGCAGCTTTGTATTAATTCTGCTCACTTATGAGAACCACTCAAAAAATTGACAACAAAAAACATTGGCATTCTGTCTTCTGTCCCATCAAGCAGATATAGAACACCCTCATTTTCAGCAAAGTAGATTTAGGGAGATGGAAAAGAGAAAAATTTCCAGAACTCATTATTTATTCTAATTTCATGGAGCTTTTAAAAATAAACTTCTGTTTCTAAGCAGTTGCTATCATTTTTGTTTCATTTATCCAGTGCTCTCTCTCTCTCAAAATCATTTTCAAGACTTCTAAAAATTTTATTATTGCAAAGATAGAATCTGACTTTTCCTTCTGTTTTTATAATGCTCAATATACTGCTATCTTCTAGAACATAAACATCTTTCCAAACACAAACCATATTTCTTTTTGTTTTTAAATATAGCAACGATCATATGAGTAGCTTTTGCATCTTTTATTTCTGCTTTTGGTCTTCTGCTGAGCTTTTGGAGGTTATCCTCCTCTTTAATGTTATTAAAGAAGCAAGTTTAGGCCATGAAATGCACCTCCTCTAACAGTAATGTGTAGATATTTATTCACTTTGATCTCACATGTTGCTTTCATTTTATTTGTATTGTCAGCAAGACAAACATTTTACCATTTTACCATCCTCTGCTGTAGGATTTCATTGATTTTAGAATCATAACCTCTACACGAACAATGGCAGAGTCCTTTGGGGTTAGCTGCGTAGTTTGAAAAACCATTCAACTCAGATAAATTTCATTCCTAGAAAAAGTGAAAAAAGAGCTGGCTGGTCAGCTCAGTTGGTTAGAGCACAGCCTTAAAACACTGAGGTCATGGGTTCGGATCTCCATACTGGCCAGCCACCAAAAATTAAAAAAATCAAAAAAGTGAAAAAAATATAGCTATTTAAATCATTAATATTTTTAAATCATTCCAGGAAATATTGTTGAACCAAGTTTTAGCTGGTTTGATACATGGAGCACACTCCCATCTTCAGGTTGTATCAGAATCTTGGGAACTGATTAAGAATGTTGAAATGTGGGTTAGCCGGTTAGCTCAGTGGGTTAGAGCACAGTGTTATAGCACTGAGGTCAAGGGTTCAGATCCCTGTACCATCCAGCCACAAAAAAATAAAGTTGAAATGAAGTTATAGCTTATAGCCTTTGCCATTAATCTAAACTGGGTGGGCAAATGTAAATGTGTATACCACTGACTACAGAAGCAAAACAACTATGTATGACCATATAAAAACTCAAAAGTTCTTTCAGGAAATACTGCCCCCTGAGGGAAGTCGTTACTCAGCTTATGAATTCTTAAAGTTTAAGTACTGTTTCATTGTTTTCTGTTACTAAGCAAGTGATAAAGAACTTTATGGACTGTAGTTTATATCATCTTTCCTTTATCTTATAATTGCTAACAAGACAACACTGATATCCCTGGGTGGTATGTGACATTTTGCTGAAAAGAGAAAGCTCCGAAGAGAAGTAAATTCTCAAGATTACAGAGTCCTAGTCATGAGGTTGCAAACCAGTCCGTGAAATAAAGTGGAAAGGGCTCAAAAACAAAGATTAAATGTTAATATTGTCAAGAATTATAACCCCTCCTCAAAGTAATCCAAAAGAGAATTTCTCATATTTTGTGAGATTCAACATGGAAATTTCCAGAGGATATGTTTTTGTGTTATTAACAATATTCGTCACATCCCTAACACTTGCTCTACACATTGTGGTCTTAGTTTAAGTATCTCCAACACATCTTTGCTTCATTTTTGTGAGTTTCTCTTGCTTATGCTGGCAATCATAGACCCAGGAATATGCACACACACTGGATGATTACAAACGCAATTTAGAAAAACCTTAGACCTGGGCCGGCCCGGTGGCGCACTGCTACGGTGCGGCGCTTGGGAGCGCAGCGGCGCTCCCGCCGAGGGTTCGGATCCCACATGCAGACCGGTTCCCGCTCACTGGCTGAGCGAGGTGCGGGCGCAGCACCGAGGGTTGCGATCCCGTTGCCGGTCCCGGTCCGGTACGGGCGCGACACTGAGGGTTGCGATCCGTTGCTGGACACGAAAAAAGACAAAAAAAAGAAAAACCTTAGACCAGAGATTCACATTTAGAATGATGTCCTTTTATAGGTCCTTAGAGCTATTTTCTCTCAAGAACCTAACTTTCCTCTTTATGAAGCATGTATCTTTTGTTTTTCCTGTTAAATCGAGCCCACTTTTGACAGTTATTTGAACATGTACATATTAAGTATCATATATTAAATCAAATCAAAACATTACAATGTAAGAATAGGATCTGGTGCTCCTCCTTGCCTAATATCATCTGACCTCAGGCCTGGTACAGGAAGGTTTCTCCCACTATTGACAAGTACCCTTTTTTGGAATTAGGATCATATTTAACCAAGTTTGATAATGTTCTGCAGTTCTAAAATATATCACAGTTTAGGTAGGTTAGGCTTTTGTGGGCCATCATAACAGCCTAGAAATATTTTTGTAGGGAAATATGTAAATTTTTATAAGAAGAAATTATAAGCATGCAATCTTATCAGATGATATTTTATAGCATAACACAATCCTAAGTAGTAGTCTGTGTTTATTACCATACTATTGCCTTAAGATAGGGACTTGAACTCTTACAATATCAGTGGTAATAAAAAGAAAAGGCTGTAAGAAACTACCATAAATAAAATACTACTAACAGAATTGAGGAGGGAGATTTTTTGGTTTTTGTAGGAGGCCATACTATTTATGACATTGAATCAAAAAGTCATGAACCTCGCTCTAATTGCTATTTGTGATTGTGATGGCACGCAATCCACTTGTTCACCTATCTAACTTCAGTCTTCACATCTGTGTACAGACGGAGTAGACCAGATGATTTCAAAGTTGCCTTCCAAATTTAATGCACTGTCCGAGTCTACTAAAATAATAATTCTTTACCAAGATTTATAATAATGGAAATTAAGTTACTGATACATAAGAAAATGTGAGGTGTTTTTGGTTTGGGCGGGGAGGAGTTGTGGTTTTTGTTTGTTTGTTTGTTTGCAGCTGGCCTGTACAGGGATCCAAACCCTCAACCTTGGTGCTGTAACCAACTGAGCTGCCAGCCCAGGAGTTTTTTTTTTTTTTTTAAGTGATAAACAAAAACTAGCTTTTTAAAGTATTCTACGTAATATTAATTGAATAAGCTTGTTATATGTTTGCACTGATTTTTTTTAAATCCACCTTTCGATTTTACTGAATGTTTTCCTATTTTTTTAGTATTTTATATTTAAGTTCTTCCTTATAATGCACATTGAGTGCTTTGTCCAGTGTTTCTTTTTGTAAGTTCACGAACTATTTCATAAACCTTTAGCATGTAAAATTTCCATCCTATATAAGGTAATGTAAGTGTTCAACTAAAATAAGTTCAGAATCAAAGGAATTTGACCTGTTGAACCAGAGTAAAAGCATCAAACCGTAGGAATTTAGTGATGATTTAATCATTCTGTGTTTTATAGTTAAAGTAAGGCCTACAGAAGTAAGTGACTTACACTAGTCATTTGCTAGGTAGTAGCAGAGTTAGTTCATTGTTTTCCCCACTATATGCTATTGCTGGCTGTGAATAAAAAATGAGAACCATGTTCAAGAAATATTATTTTGTTAGCAGTATTTAGGTTGCAGAGATAATAGCAGGAGGGACTGGTAGGATTCTGTACCCATATGGTAAAACAGCCATGCTTATTGACCTATGAAATGCCTTGTACACATAACATTGCATACATGTTACCTCATATAGTCCTTTCAACAGCAATGTAATGTAATTAAGATGCTGTAATCCCTGTAGAGATGAAGAAACTGAGGCTCAGAAAAGGTAATACCTACTCAAACAGCTTATAAAAGCAGAGATCTTCATAAGCCAGGGTTGTCTGATTCTGTATTACTCTGCCACTGTATCACAATGTGGCCTCCCGGACCATGACAAATGAAGAGAAGAGTTTCTAAAAGAATATGTAGTACAGATAAAGTCATATTAGGAAATTCAAATTTGGTATTTTCTGCTTTTGGCCGATTTTGGGAGCTCTATGATGATATATGTGCTTTTTGAATAAGCAGACTCCTTTCTGGGTACTTTCTAAAAGAATATGTAGTACAGATAAAGTCATATTAGGAAATTCAAATTTGGTATTTTCTGCTTTTGGCTGATTTTGGGAGCTCTATGATGATATATGTGCTTTTTGAATAAGCAGACTCCTTTCTGGGTACCTACGATTTGAAAAATATTGTTGAGCAAACAGAGAAGTGTAAGACTTGGAGGAAGCATAAAATAGCTTCCTTATTGTCACCCAATCAGATTTAAAGGAATCACTTTATTTATAAATAATACATTTTATAAATATTATATTCTAATAATAAAAGTAATACACACTAATTTTAGAAAATGCAGAAAAGAATAAAGCAAACAAAAATAAAGTTGTCAGTAATCCCACCCTAAGTGAGAGCACATTTTCCATTTTGGTATATTTCTTTTGATAAGAGTACTGATTCTGACAAGTCTTTAGAAAATTAATGTGTGTGCATAATGAAAATCTTTACTGTTTATGTGAATATACTTAATCCAAAATATACCTCACACAGCTTCAGTGAAGGGTAGTTTACTTCATGGTGAAACTGAAGGACTGTGCCTTTTAGGAAATCTGCAAGGTTTATTAAGGTAAGCGGAATAGCTGTAATTCAGAGTGCAATGAAAGCCCAAGTGTTCGCTTGGCTGTTTAGGCCTGCTGACTAACAGTGGTGGGATATGAAATCACATTCAGCATTCCCTTGAGCCTGAATCATCCACTGTGGAATGAGAATTGAAAACAGAGCTGGTTTTCAGAAAACCAGAAAAGTCATAACACCCATGATTTCAACCATGGAACTGTTCTGCCTTAAACTCAAGGTCCATATGCCTCTTTTGAATGTTGTCAAATTCAGAACTTAATCTTACTAGCATGTGAGCAGTCACTTACTAGCAAGTGGCACAGCAGATGAATAGAATTAGACTATAATTCTTTTTTCTTGCTTCTTCAGGTGAATCAGTTCAGACAGCTATATTCCAAAGTTATCAATGATAAGCATGATGATGTCATGGCCAAGTTTGGTGCTATTCTGGCCCAGGGCATACTGGATGCAGGTAAATATTTTTAAGTCTTCTGGATTGATTTGATTTATTTAAACTAAACCTAATGAAATAACTATGTGCTCTAACTATATATAACATAGTGGAAATTGAGTCTGAGGTAAATTATTCCTGGAGAAAATTTGTCTTTAATTTTCTTAGTATATATGAGTTTTAAACAAGTTAACATTGGAATTTTTTTTGAGGAAAAAATTATGTTTTAGACAAATTCTAGCAGCCAAATCACTCCTAAAATAAGATACATGGAGAAACACACTGTGCCTTATGGCTCCAAGATTCACCCTTCACCACAATACCATGGTCTATTTCAAATACATAGAGTAGTGTGTTTTAATACCTTAGACTTGGGATTTATTTGACCTATTTCTTAATTATTGGTGACATGTCAACAGGGTAAAAGGAAAAGAACATGTACCTACTTCATTATTAAAGTATGTGATTATTTTTCTTACTGTACCTTAGCCACGTGAAATATAATTCTTTTTATTAATTTTTGCTTATTTGAAAGGTGAAGAATAGCATCTCAAAGTTTTTATAGCAGTCCTATTATCAGTGGAGCATGTTCTCATATTTATTAGCCATCTGTATTTCTTCTAATAAAAACACGCTGTTATGGGCCGGCCCAGTGGCGCACTGGAGAGTGTGCCGCTTGGGAGCGCGGCGGCACTCCCGCCAAGGGTTCGGATCCCATGTGGAGACCGGTTCCTGCTTACTGGTTGAGCGCGGTGTGGGCTCAACACCGAGGGTTGCGATCCCGTTGCCGGTCAGTAAAAAAGACAAAAAAGAAAAAAAAAACACGCTGTTAGCCATATTTGTTGCAGGCATTATTTTCTCAGTCCACTAGGAATGTGTATATATTTATAGTGAAGGAAATCAGGAAAAGAAGCTGCAATTTTTTGATAACTCTCAAGGTTTTTTGTTAATCTATTCAGGTTTTCCACTTGCTGAGAGTTTTTAATCATAATCATCACAGTTTTCAGAGTTCTTTGATAATTTTAGATAATCTTCTTATATACCTCTTTCATTAAAAAAAGAAATCCATGTTTCCATTCTAATTTGACATTTTTTTAAATCTTTATTCTTGATTAGATTTGTCAGAGGTTTCCCTTTTTATTTTATCTTTTAATTCTATTTTCCATGAACTTTTTGAAGTAGCTTTGTATTCTTTTTTTTCTAAATTCTTTATTTTTGCTCTTTTTTTATTATTTGCTTTTCTTAGGACTTTGGTGCATTTTTCAAATTTTTGAGGCAAATGTTCTTCCTTTTTAATCCATTTGTCTAATGGGGTGGTTGTTTTTTTCCCCTAAGAAGTCGGGAGTTTTCTGCTTAAACTTTTAGTATTAAGGTACACATTATTTTCCTTTTAACTTAAAAACATTTTCTTGCAACTGTATATAGATAAGGAAAATATTTCATAGATATTTTAGATAAAGTAGATGGTATTGATAATTCTAGATGGTATTGATTCTCTCCCATGTATAAATAATACAGACATTGACATCCCATAGTTTCTCCTCATTGGTATATTCCAATATTATTATAGTATGTTTACATTGTCTTCAAAAATCAGAATTTTCACAGTTGCATGGTCTTAGTTTCATATTTATATGGATTCAGTGCTCACCACCATTTCTTTTATTGCTGCTTTCTGGGTTATCTACACTAAGGCTTGAAACTTAATTGGCTGTATTTTATCAGTAATTAAGTTGTTTAAATTGTTTGTTGTTTGTTTTTGTTTTTTTTTTAATTTTTAGATTTACAGAAAAAATTGAACAGAAAGTCCAGAGTTCCCATATGTCCCTTATCCCCCTGCCAGTTTCCCTTATTATTTATCTTACATTATTGTGGAATATTTGCTACAATTGATGAGCCAATATTGACACGTTATTATTAACTAAAGTCCCTAGTTTACACCCGTATTCACTCTTTGTGTTGTACGGATGTTTAATGACATATATCTACCATAACAGTATTATACAGAATAGCTTCACTGCCCTAAAAATCCTCTGTTTTTCACCTATTCATTCCTCCCTGCCCTCTTTACAAGTGCCTGACCTTTTTACTGTCTCCATAGATTTATTTTATTTTCTTTAAAGTAGAGTTTCAAGTTTATTGAGCTAAAGTTTTTCATAATATTCTTACCATGTTTCTCAGTGTCTGTGGAATCTGTAGTAGTGTCCCTTTTTTAATTGTTTTTCTTTTTTAAAAATATTTTTTTATTTTATTAAGGTATAGTTGACAAATAGAAATTATATATATTTATAGTTACATGATGTTTTGATATATGTATACATTGTAAAATAGTTAAATCAAGCTAATTAACATTTCTTCACATCATATACTTATTTTTTGTTGTGAGAACATTTAAGATCTACTCTCTTAGCAATTTTCAAGCATACAGTACATTATTATTAACTGTAGTTACAATGCTGTACAATAGATCTCCTGAACTTATTCATCCCGTCTAACTGAACTGTCTTTGTAGTTTTAGTTTTGCCTTTTCCAGAATGTCATGTAGTTGGAATCATACAGTATGTACCCTTTCCAGATTGACTTCTTTTGGTAATAATGGTTTTTTTAAAACAGGATGTAGGAGTAACATTTTACTACTCCATAATAATTTTTTTCCCCTTGGCTGCCATTTTTTGAAGTTTGTGATTTTAGACTACATCCCTTTTCTTGTTCATTCAGCACTACTACAGTTTTTTTCTGTAACAGGGTTATGTTAAGAATAAAAGGATAATTCTGTGTTTCAGCTTTGTTCTGCCATCCTTACAAGAAGTCATCTCTCTGTCTTCCCCTCCATCCTTCCTCTTTCAGGCCCTCTCTTTTTGATTTCTTGTGGACCAATCAAGTTTTGGTGCTTCTTTCCATTTCTCTTTTTATTTATAATGGTTTTTGCTTTAGGCATTTAGTGCTATTTAGTACATGAAAGTTCTATACTGTAGTGTTCATTCTCTTGTTCCTCTTCCCTTTTTTTTTTTTTTTTTCCTTTTTGTCTTTTTTCATGACCGGTAACGGGATCACAACCCTCAGTGTCGTGCCCGTACCGCGACCGGCAACGGGATCGCAACCCTCGGTGTCGCGCCCGCACCGCGCTCAACCAGTGAGCGGACCGGTCTGTATATGGGATCCGAACCCTCGGCAGGAGCGCCACCCTCTACCGAGTGCGCCACCGGGCCAGCCCCCTCTTCACTTTTTAATCTGTTCTCTTATGAAACTGCTGCAACTGCATTAGAAAAATTTGCAGTCCTGGTTTCTGTTTCTAAGTAAAGTTATTGGTAGTAGAGAAAATCTGGAGAGGGCAACTTCAAAGGAAAGAATGAGGTTGACGTTTATGAGAACTCAATGATTTAAATGATCTGTTCAGGGAGAAAAGCTGAAGATTAAGGTTTATGATTGAAGTCTGTTAAACTGTAAACACTATCCATAGGATAAACTCACCCTTGCTTATTAAATTTCAAAATGTTAGAACAAAGGCTAGTTTAGTTTCTAAGTCTGAAGAAGATATAAAAGGAACTTACGTGAAAGGAAATTCAGCTTCAAAACTTACATCAAGGGGCCGGCCCGGTGGCGCACTGGATAGTGCGCCGCTTGGGAAGCGCGGCGGCGCTCCCGCCCGAGGGTTCGGATCCCACATACAGACCGGTTCCTGCTCACTGGCTGAGCGAGGTGTGGGAGCAACACCAGGGGTTGCAATCCCGTTGACGGTCCCCGGTCCGGTACGGGGGCAACACTGAGGGTTGCGATCCGTTGCCGGACACGGAAAAAGACAAAAGACAAAAAAAAAAAAAAACTTACATCAAATAGCACATTCTCTAAGCAGCCCTTCCTCCTCTTCTTTCACCCTACCCAAGTCTCCACCCTGGGTTAGGTACCATGCTTAACTCTATGTTCCCACTAGCACCCAGGTTTATAGCTATTATAATACTTTTAATGTCTTCTTTTAATTATGCAGTTATCTGTCTTCTCCACTAGACTGAAGGCTTCTTGGGATCTTTTTCAGCATTTTGTTCATAATTCTCAATATATAGTATGCCTTCAGTGACTGTGGGGGTTAGAGTAGGAAAGAATACAAGTGTACAATAAAAGTATATGACTCATTCCTGTTGTGAAAACCAAATTAAAGTATACCTGACTTTTTTCCCAGCTAAAAATCTTAAATAAAATACAGATGTTCCTTGACTTACTGGGTTACATCCCAATAGACCCATCATAAAGTTGAAAAATCCTGGGGCCGGCCCGGTGGCGCACTGCTACAGTGCGCCACTTGGGAAGTGTGGAGGCGCTCCCGCCGAGGGTTCGGATCCCACATACAGACCGGCTCCCACTCACTGGCTGAGCGAGGCGTGGGAGCAGCGCTGAGGGTTGCGATCCCGTTGCCGGTCCCCAGCGTGGATTGTTGTTGTTTTTCAAGTTCTTTGAGGCATAGCATTAGGTCA